TGACATTCACTATTTGGTCTAGAAATCTAATATTGATTTTCTCGTACGGTTAATGAATTTACATTTCATTTATACTGTTGTTTACATCTACACATAGGGAATTAAGTAGCATTTATATTTCCAATGGTGTGGAATTCAGTCTCATTATTTTTCTCTTCTTGGTACCATTTACTGAAATTTCAGATAAAAAGTTTATTTCCGTATAAAACATTCAACAAAGAAGAAGAAAAAACTAATTAAAAAAAGGCATGACTGAATTATTAAACGCAAGACTAACAATTTTGAAAAAAACTTTAAGAATGTTCAATAAAATTAACCAACAAGAACCGGAAATGACTGAAAAATATAGTGACAAAACTGAAAATAATTCCGATTATAAATAACAAAGATAATATCAGTATTAATCATCTAACATCAATCATAATGATAATAATGATAACTATCATTATCATACTAATGATAATCATGACAATAACGATGGTGACGAAGATGAAGTTGATAATGATAATGATATGATAATAACAATGATAATGACAAAACCAAATTTCCAATGAATAACAACAACAACTAACGATAACAACAACGATGACTTACCCTGTGCATCGGCCTGAACAAACTGTATTTTCTTGGGTACAAAGTCGACGATCTTGGGCGGCGCTGGAGACACACACGGCGAGACTGGAAGGAGAAAGATGATGAAAGTTGGTTAATGATAATGTTGGTAATGAGGATAAGGACCATGATGATAACAATAGTGGTAGTAATGATAAAAAGTGATAATAGTGATGATAATATATATGATGATAATAATAATGAAATGATAATAATAATAATAATAACAGTAATAATAAAACAGTAATAATGATAATAATAATAAAAATAATAATGATAACAATAGTAATAATAAACAATAATGATAATAAATAATAATAATAACGATAATAATAATAATGATAATAATAATAATAATAATAATTATGATAATAATAAATGGCAATCAACAATAATATAATGATAACCATAATAACAAGGATGATAATGATATTAACAATAGTAATAGTAAAAGTAATGATTACAACTATAACATACAAGGCCAACAAGAGGTTATGAAGTAAAAAAACGACTGAAAAGCCATTGGAACTATAACACTGTTGGATATTGAACTATAAACCTAAATGTACTACTGCGCCCGGCCTGGTATCCTACACATTAAATAAAATACCTTTCATTCATTCATTGACTGCATGGAGGTATTAATAGAAGTAAGTATACATAATTCCTTCAAGTTGAGTAAAAAAATACAGGACTTTGGCTTGACTCCCACTGCGAGTAATTCCACTTGAGAATCATAAATAAACATAATCAGCAACTCTGGGCTATTTTGATGACTGTTCAATGAAAATATAACCATCTAAATAATTATTTTCCATCCTTTTTGAAGACTGAAGAGACCAAAATGATCGACCATATTCACAAAGCATCCGGGACTTTTGTGACGTCATCAAAATAAACAGACGCCATGACACCTCCTCGAGTTGCTATCGATCTAGCCTTCCCCATTAACATTTGTGCAGAAATGAATAAGCAAATGAACAAACACACAAATAAATAAACAAATAAATAAGTAAAAAAAAAAAAACAGACAAAACTAATAAATAAACAAGTCAACAAAACATACACCGATATATAAAACAAAAATACCCTCCCCCCCCCCCAAAAAAAAAAAAAAATATATATATATATATATAAAACAAAAATACCCTTCCCCCCCCAAAAAAAAAAAAAAAAAAAAAAGAAAAAAGAAAAAAAAAAAAATACGCCCGTTACCTTCTGCAGACGATCCCGAGAGTCCCTGCAGCTCGGCCTCATCCTCGGACGTGTCGTACAAGTCGGAGGTCCTCTGGGCACTCAGGAGCTGTCCCTCTGAGGGGGAGGGGGGTGGGGGGTATTTGTTATTAAAGGGTTATAAATCTATGTATGAATGTATGTATGTTGTACATATACCCTACATATATATACACACACACACACCACACACACATACATGAATACATTATCTACTATCTATCTATCTATCTTATCTATATCTATACACACACACAACCACACACACACACACACACACATATATATATATATATATATATTATATATATATATATGTATACATATATATATATATATATATATATATATATATATATATATATATATATATATATATACATACAATATAATATATATATATATATATATATATATATATATATATATATATATATATATATATATATATATATATATATATATATATATATATATATACATATATATATATATATATATATATATATATATATATATATATATATATATTATATAATATATATATATATTATTACAAACACGCATCACACAACACTCGCAGAGATCTCCCTCCCGCGGCCGTCCCTGAGGCCCGAGGAAGCCGCCCTCACTCACGCAGCGTGGGCGGCGTCGGGGGAGAGCGAGCGGGCGGGGAGGGGGTGCGGCGGGGGGTTCGGCGAACTCAAACGGGACATCTTCAGCCGTTTCTGTAAGTTCGAGGACGAGGCGATTAGCGTGGATTGCGGCGATGATTCAAGGAGGAGGAGAGTTCGAGTGCGAGCGAGTGAGAGTGAGAGCGAAGAGGTTGGCGGGCTCGTCCTCCCACTCGTCGCATATATGGAGAAAGATAAAACAAAATACGTAGGTGTTGCGCATGCGCTTTGGGCGTGTGATCTAATGTACTGCATAACCTGTAGAAAAAAGAATAATCTAGATGTGATGTTGAGGTGTTCAAACCCTTTATGTTTTGTTTAAAAGATTCAGAATCGATAAAGGTATTATTGTAGTTTAGATTTTGTTTTATCTGTGATGCACGGTCGGTTTTATTGATCTATACTTATCTTCATCTATGAGTCATTGAGCACCTTGATTCATGCGAATGACAACATATCAATTCTGATGCAACCACATTAACAAATCCTTCTCTGTTAATTACAAAATGAATGATACATAATGTGCCACTTGATAGATTTATGTTTTGGTAAATATTTCACAATAACAGCGTCATTTGCTTAAAGTTCTTTCAGCCCATATGTTTCAACACTGGCAAAGAGTCCGTCATAAATGTGTAAACTATTCTATTATTCATAGTACGCATTCTATTATCAAAACACCATTTAAACCATCGGGCAAAATCTCTTCTGTTTCTCACAACTGAAAGATAGAGCACAAAACACTTAACTTTCACATACACATCCCCTACACCCGTCTAGAAAAGGAAGAATTCTCAAAATAATCCACACACGACATTTTCGAATCTCTCCAACAAACACGAATTTCATCCTACGTGAATTTCCCTCCTTCTCTCACGAATTCCTCACGAATCAGACGTCTTCTACGGTGAGTACTTGGGCGTGGTAATGAACACAGTATGCTCTCTCTCTCGCTCTCTCTCTCTCTCTCTCTCTCTCCCTTTCGCTCTCCCTCGCTCTCTGTGGACAGGATATGTTGTCAGAGATAAATAAATGTTTGCTGTGTGGAGGCGTGCGCGTCCAGCAGGATGTTGGAGATAGTGACCGCGGGTAGACTACAGTTTTTAGTTGATTAAGGAAAAAAAATATACACGTACTTCACACGAAAACATATTCGAAACCGGTCAAATACATCAAATACATCTCTTGTATTGCGAAGTTCATCTCTCACTCACACCTTTTTTTACAAATGATTACAGCATAAAAATATTTCTCTAACTTAACTATCGTGCGTGGATAGTTTGATGTGGTAGGGACTACCGAGCAATTACACTTGTAACTTGACATGATGAGATTTTGTGATATATTAAGATTATCAAAACCCTATTCATTTATGGCCAAGGAAAAGAAATGGTACACTGGGTCTTTCACAATTCTTGAGCGCTACTGTCGACAGAATGAGCAAGAGAGAGAAAAAATAACACGGTTAGATAGATAGAAAGGCAGTGAAGGAGAGTGAGAGTGAGAGAGAGAGGGAGAGAGAAGAGAGGAGAGGAGAGGAGCGGAGCGGAGCGGAAGAGGGAGAGGAGAGGAGAGGAGAGGAGAGGAGAGAGAGAGAGGAGAGGAGAGGAGAGGAGAGAGAGAGGAGAGGAGAGGAGAGAGAGGAGAGGAGAGGAGAGGAGAGGAAGAGGAGAGGAGAGAGAGAGAGAGGAGGAGAGGAGAGGAGAGACACGCATACACGCATACATGTATATACTTTTGTATATATATATTCCTTTTTTATCTAACTTATTTCTCCTTTACCCTTTATCCCTTTTTTCTTTTTCCTCTCATGTCCCTTATCCTTTTGATTATTTTTTCTCTTTTGTCGTTTATCCTTTTTTTCTTTTCCCCCTTTTCAGTATTGCTCTACAACACCAAAGCTAAATTCTCCTTTGCAACAGACAAATCTACAAATCAAAACAAAAATCTGCCGCTGTTTCCCGGAGGAGATCTGCCGCCCGTCTCCGTCGGCGCCCACGAGACGCCCGCGGGCCGTGTCTGCCGTCGTGGTAGGCGATGCTCCCCACCTGTAGAGCTACTCGTGCTGGCGCTGCTTCTTCTTCTTCTTCATCTCCTTCTTCGCTACGAGGTGGCCCTCCAGGATCTGTGCCATTTCCTTCTGGGAGACGACAAATGGCTGCTCCTCCTCCTCCTTCTGCTTGGCCTGCTGCTGCTGAGGCTCTGACGCCCGCTGCGCCTTTCGCTGGGCCTTGCGCTGCCTGAGATCGCTGAAGGCGAAGGCGCCCTAGGGCATGACGGCGCACACGGCCTCCTCGGCGGCGTCTTCCGTCCGGCCGACGGTCTGTGCCGACTCGTCGCCGTGCTCGAGGGCGAGCGTCGCCAAGTTCTGCGTCAGTTTATCGAGGGACACCATGACACACACACACACACACACACACACACACACACACACACACAGACGCACACACACACACACACACACACACACAAACAAACACA